ACCAACTTTAACTCTATGGGCTCGATGACCGGTCCGCGCCCCCCACCTTTAAGCGGCGGGCTCCAGCAGGAAAAGCTGGAGGCCTGGAAAAGAGTGAGACAGGTAGCGCGCAAAAGTAAAAGTGGAACCGAGAGTGGTACGAGAGACAGAACGAGAGCAAGACAGACAGACATTACGAGAGCGAGACAGTTTGTCTCTTTCCCGACAATCCCCTCTGTGCACGAACCCTTACATATGGTAATTATACATTAAAACACCTGCGGCTTATAGTCCAGTGCGGCTTATATATGTACACATCATTCAATATCATTCAATTTAGCTGCTGCGGCTTATACTCCGGTGCGCCTTATAGTGCGGAAAATACGGTATTAACTGGTTACAAATGTAATTAGAGCAGTAAAAACAAATGTTTCTCATACCCGTGGTATAAGGTCTCATATACATTTACATTTTAGTCATTTAGCAGACGCTCTTATCCAGAGCAACTTACAGTTAGTGAGTGCATACATTTTTCATACTGGCCCCCCGTGGGAATCGAACCCACAACCCTGGCATTGCAAGCACCATGCTCTACCAACTGAGCTACACGGGGCCATACCACGGCTTTCAGCCAATCAGTATTCTGAGCTCGAACCACCCAGTTTATAATCCACAAATTACCACCGGCTAAACCTATGACGTTGAAATGCCTATTTACTGTGTTCCATCTCACTCTGCAATCCACTGTCTCATCAGCCCTGCCAGGCAATTTATAAACTCGATCTCCACTATAAAAAGCACCTAGACATGATCTCCCATTTCTTTTAGACTAGCATTAGGTTTTCTACAGCGGAGATTTGTATAAACCTTTCTGTCTGTCTCTCCAACATTTGCAACATTGTTTCAATATTGAAATTCGATCTCCAGCTGTCCCATAGTAATAAAGCATTGGGAGTCTGGACCAGACAGGCAGGCAGCTTTTCTCAGCCAGTCGAAATCATGAATCAGCTGGCATAATTTGTATGGACATATACAAAGAAACGTCAATAGAAAACAGGTAAAAAAGGAAACAAAATGCAGCTAGTTTGCGGTCTTTCCAGCTTCAGTTTGAAGTGATTATGTTAGCTGTGTTGTTGGCTAGCTCCTCTGAACAATAGTGTCCTGACGAGAGCTCACTTTTCTATGCCAGGCGAAATCGCGCATCATTAGCTCATGGATGTATCCAAATAAATGTCACTAGAAAACAGCTTAAACTAACGCAAATGCAGCTACTTTGCTGTTATTCTGTCTGTACTGTTTGACGTGACTGTAAGTTAGCCGTAGTTGGCTAGATAGCAAGCAAGATATAAGAACGTTGCCAGCCAGTACGGCAATGGAACATTTAGAACAAACGACTGGGTCGTGTCCATAGATACAGAAGAAAAAGACAACGACTGGGTCACGTCTCTGGCAACTGAACCGATACATTTTACATTTACATTTTAGTCATTTAGCAGACACTCTTATCCAGAGCGACTTACAGTTAGTGAATGCATACATGTTTTTTTTTTCTCATTCTGGCCCCACGTGGAAAACAAACCCACATCCCTGCCGGCCAAACCCTCCCCTACCTTGGACGACGCTGGACCAATTGTGCGCCGCCCATGGGTCTCCCGGTCGCGGCCGGCTGCGACAGAGCCTGCACTCGAACCAGGATCTCTAGTGGCACAGCTAGCACTGCGATGCAGTGCCTTAGACCACTGCACCACTCGGGAGTCGGATATATGCTGTCCATTCCACTCACCAGCTCTCCCCCGGGCAGATTGACAGAGGACAGCAGCAACACAGAGTCCAGTCTGGAGAACGAACGAACGACCAGCCGGCTTGGGTAACATTAGCAACCTCAGATTTGTATCAGGACAATATCTTGTGGAAGGATTAAATAGTATGAATAAATTAACTAAAATAACATTATTTGAATATGTTGGTAACCCGTTATATAAAACCAGTGTTTGGGGCATATATTGGCACAGTTTGCTGGCCCTCGACTTAGTCTCCAGCCTAACACCGTGCCAATATCCTCCAAACACTGGCTTCTCTGGCATTATCACTTAAATAACGCACAGCATATCATCACAGTAGAATTCAATGGCTATAGTTCATTCTTACATGTTTTGTTTGAGCTGCTTTTGAAAGCAAAAGTCGAATTGCTTTTGAAAGCCTCAGCTGTTACGGACGACTGTGTGATCACGATCTCCGTAGACGATGTGAGTAAGACCTTTAAACAGGTCAACATTGAAGGCCGCAGGGCCAGACAGATTACCAGGACGTGTACTTCGAGCATGCGCTGACCAACTTGCAAGCGTCTTCACTGACATTTTCAACCTGTCCCTGACTGAGTCTGTAATACCAACATCTTTCAAGCAGACCTAGCAGAACTTAGTGCCCAAGAACACTAAGTTAACCTGCCTAAATGACTACAGACCTGTAGCCATGAAGGGCTTTGAAAGGCTGGTCATGGCTCACATCAACACCATTATCCCAGAAACCCTAGACCCACTCCAATTTGCATACCGCCCAAACAGATCCACAGATGATGCAATCTCTATTGCACTCCACACTGCCCTTTCCCACCTGGACAAAAGGAACACCTACTACAGCTCAGCGCTCAACACCATAGTGCCCTCAAAGCTCATCACTAAGCTAAGGACCCTGGGACTAAACACCTCCCTCTGCAACTGGATCCTGGACTTCCTGACGGGACGCCCCCAGGTGGTAAGGGTAGGTAACAACACATCTGCCACGCTGATCCTCAACACGGGTGCCCCTCAGGGGTGTGTGCTCAGTCCCCTCCTGTACTCCCTGTTCACACATGACTGCATGGCCAGGCATGACTCAAACGCCATCATTAAGTTTGCCGACGACACAACAACGGTAGGCCTGATCACCGACAATGATGAGAGCGCCTATAGGGAGGAGGTCAGAGACCTGGTCGTGTGGTACCAGGATAACAACCTTTCCCTCAACGTGATCAAGACAAAAAAGGAAGACGGGGCTGTAGTGGAGCAGGTTGAGAGCTTCAAGTTCCTTGGTGTCCACATCACCAACAAACTATCATGGTCCAAACACACCAAGACAGTCGTGAAGAGGGCACGACCAAGCCTATTCCCCCTCAGGAGACTGAAAAGATTTGGCATGGGTCCCCAGTTCCTCAAAAAATTATACAGCTGCACCATCGAGAGCATCCTGACTGGTTGTATCACTACCTGGTATGGCAACTGCTCAGCCTCCAACCGCAAGGCACTACAGAGGGTAGTGCGTATGGCCCAGTACATCACTGGGGCCAAGCTTCCTGCCATCCAGGACCTCTATACCAGGCGGTGTCAGAGGAAGGCCCTAAAAATGGTCAAAGACTCCAGCCACCCTAGTCATAAACTGTTCTCTCTGCTACCGCACGGCCAGCGGTACCAGAGCGCCAAGTCTAGGACTACTTGCATTGTCACTCTGTTTATTATCTATGCATAGTCACTTTACCTACATGTACATATTACCTCAATTACCTCGACTAACCTGTCAAGGTAATTCAATACAATTTGATTTGAAAACATTCTTGGCATTGTTGAATTCGATTTTCATAATAGCAAGCTAGAACTGATGGTTTGGTTAGCTAAACTAGCAAGTATGTTTGTTTGGTTACCAAGGCAACTACTGTAGCTATCTAGTAAACTTATTTGCGAGCTACTTCAGTGGATGTTGAACACATTTCTAGTGGCAAATGTGTTAAAATATAGCCATGGTATAAAAGGGATAATCAACTCTGGGTGCTATGCTTTCTCTGGAAAATAACACAACTACATGGAAGGTCAGTTTCACTCCACTAGCGGGTCGTGGAACACACCTTCCATGTCATTTTCCATAGAACGCATATCCCTTACCTCTCCATGCTGGCTTTCGCGGGCTACCTGAGATAAGAAACAGCTGGTGGGAGGTCATACAGGCTGTTGCCAATTTATTAATGCGCAACTTGCCTAAATTGGTAATGGAAACACCTTTCTATGCAATCTTTCTAAATGTTGAGAAAACATTTTTAAAATCACTGGACAAGTTAATGGAAACATAGCTACTGACAAGAAGCTACAATGTGGGGAATCGTTGGTGGCTTGTTTCAGCAAGTTTGTTCTTGATACCATGTCTAGTTGTGATTTTTTAAACTGATTTCATGTCAACGCTAATATGGTTAAAATTCACTAGCTAACCAACAACTGTACCGATGTATTTGAAAGACAATTGCTCATTGTGTAAATGTATTTATGTTTTCAATAAACATTTGGAGACTAAATATTGTTTACATGTTGTCAACAATCTAAGGCAACCTTGTCTGTTTTGCCCCACAGTTCCCAAGCTTCGGTATTGTTGCTAAATGACCGACCCGTCTATAGGCTATCCTTGGTGCTCTGCACTGCATAGTTTCTGATGTATGCAAGTCATGATCCGAGGAACCAAAACACAATGGCTGACAAAACATAAAGTGCATCTAAAAACAAAATCATGGAGATACGTAGTTGACAGAGGTGTAATACATGATTGCATCGTGATTGCATTATGTCACCTCAGGAATAATGGAGGACATTGTGGTGTTTAGTGTTAGTGCAGAAATAAAGACATGGGACATCAGACAAAGAAAATATGTATTTGGCGTAAAAGGGCCATAAATAAAATGGTATTCTCTCGATTTATTAACAAGCCACAGTGTCCATGGATGTCTACCATAGCACTCAAAACTTCTAATTCTGGTACAGTCCACAGACCCACTCGAGGTTCTCATTTCGTCACTTCTTTTAGAAAAAAAAACTAAACAATGTGATAATACTGTACCAAACTGGTGGCAAAGCAGCAGGGCGATCCTTCTCACACAGAGAAGGGGTGCTTTAAGAAAGGAGTGGGGGTGGGCAACAAAAGATAACTACAAAAAACAACAACCTCAACCTCGTTTAACAAAGCTTGGAGCAGCATGCGCTGGCTTTCAATCACTGCAGGATCACCATTTTCACTACTTCCCCCACTCCACTTTTTCCTTCTCCAACTGTCCGTTCATTCATGAATTTTTCTGTTGCGTTTTGCTTAAAAAATAATTAAAATAATAATTATTATAATGATAAAACCTTTAGCAGCAAAAGAGAAACAGAGGAGTAACGGCGAGCGACCCCTGGTTTATAAGGAAGGCATGGGTTAAAAGAGACATCCATGGGTGAGTGCCCTGGGGGGCCGTATAGGGCCGTGGGGCTGCTGCCCCCTCAGCTCATCTCCCGTCTGCAGGCACCCGGCTCAGGGAGGCCATGACACGGCCGTAGCGCTCAACCAGCTCCAGGGTGGAGTAGGTGGGCAGCTTGGGAGGGTCGCGGAAGCTTTTGATCTCTGTCGAGCAGTCGAGTAACTTGGGGAGGAAGTCCGTCAGCTTCTCCTGAAGGTTGGCTGCAGCAGGAGGGGGAAAACAATGACGGAGAGATGTCAGACAGAAAAATTTTGATTATTTCAATGTCCTTGCTTGTGTCACTCTCCAGAGTCACATCCAGTTACCAAACAGAAATCATAAGCTAAATATTTTCACTGTGATAGCACAAGCTCTTGGTAAGCATGCTCCTCTAGGAAAACACAGATTGAGAAAATAAAATGAAAGAGGCCCTAGTTGGTTGTTGTTCTAAGAAGATGCTGCTTGGTCAGTTTTCTGAACCCAATCTAACTTTTTCCTGGAGCAGAGGCTAGGACTCAACTGAACCATTTCTCTGAACTAACAATTTGGGTCAAATTCTGCCAACACAAAGTGGGTATTTCCTTGGTTGTTATGGCTTGGCTGGTCTGACTGCTAATATCAACTATTTTGACCATGTCCCTGACCACGTTTCATGTACCTTCCAAATTAAACTAGAGCAGAAAAACAACCAAACATCCAGTAGATCTCCAGTACCACAAATCTATCCCCCCTGGCCCTCTAGGCTCTTGTACCCCTTTCACACTATTGTGCCAACCCAAACAATACTGTGCTGCCTCGGATATGTTATTTTCATATTGCAGCATGATTCAAGCAACTACGGAGGCTGCCTAACCAGGTCAGCACAGTACACAGCTCGGCTCAGTAGTGTGAAAATGCTCTTAGTTCCCTCGGTCATTGGACTTTTATGGACTCTTGGAAGATCAGCCCCTTAAGCGTTTAATATGGGCTAAAAGAGATGCAAATAAACAAACACACTAGAGCTGTCCCCGACCTAGAGTTGTCGGTTCTTTTGACCAATCCATGTTAAAACGTGTATTTTTCCCTATATAGACACACCCTATGTGTTTGAATAAAATCAACTATATGTAGGCTACTGAGCTTGTCTCATGCTTTAAGCACAATGTGAATAAATAATTAAGAAACACAAATGACTTGAGGGAGCCAGAGATCAAGAAAGCAGAAGAAAATCCTGTTCCCGACGCTCTTCCTCCCACTGCTGCTGGCCTTTGCAGATTCTGCTGTTACGTTCCTAATACTGTAGGCTACACCAGGGGTCGGCAACCTTTTCCATTTGGAGTGCCAATTTATCTTACCATTTCTACCGATCTGTGTGCCAGTTATGATTTTTATTTGCACATTTTCGTGGAACAGTTTCATTTAATTTATAATAAAGGTTTCGTATCTCAAAATCATTATCATATGGTTAATCAAAATTGTAAAAGTAACTTCTATTGCTATTGCCAACTATGTAAAAAATAGCCTACATAAAGCCAACAAATAAAAACATTGCAGCCTGCAGGTAAAAAATATCCTGATAAAATAAATATCCTATAAATCTGGGGCGGCAGGTGGCTTAGTGGTTAAGAGCGTTGTGCCAGTAACCGAAAGGTCGCTGGTTCTAATCCCCGAGCCGACTAGGTGAAAAATCTGTCGATGTGCCCTTGAGCAAGGCACTTAACCCTAATTGCTCCTGTAAGTCGCTCTGGATAAGAGCGTCTGCTAAATGACTAAAATGTAAAATGTAAATCACATTGACTACGCATGGCCTGTCTGCAAGGAACTTGAAACATTGTATCAACCAGAGGCGCAACGTTCACTGGGGACGGGGGGGACATGTCCTCCCCACATTCTGAAATTACATTTTTGTCTGCCCCAGTTTTATCATTGGAATGTGATACAAAACGAGGCAACGGTGTGCTTTAGGACCGTGCGGACGTCTTTGAGCAGTCGGGTAGGCAGTTTGGAGTGATTATCCGACTGGATATTTTTTCTTAAATAATAATAACTATGTCCCCCCCCCACTTCTAAAACCAAAGTTGCGCCCCTGGTATCAACTATTAACTTGGGTCCGGCCTGAAGCTAGTGCTAGCAAACTTGCAACATTGTATAAAATATTCTGGGCCCCCAGAGTTTCCCAATACACTGAGCTCTGGACAGACATATGGCCTTTCCACTGGATCAGAGCATGACAATTTTTTTCCCCATTTCACGCTGAGTGGTTATCGAAAGAGAGCTGGAAAGATTTTTCAAATAGGCTTTGTTGAGGAACTATTGTCATTCTCAATGGATGTAAAACAGATTTTGTTAACTTGCTGTTTGAGGTGGGGGGAAAAATTGTTTGAGAAGTTCCACAGTGGTGGTGGGTTAAGACAATCTGAAATACTATCAGATCCCCAAATGGGCACATGTATAGGCCTGCATTTGTATAGGCCTACTTCTACGTATAATCAGTGTGTGTATCCTTAAATCAACATTAAACAGGAGCGTTACAAACAAACGACAATTAATAAACTGACAGAGATCAAGAAAGCCAAGAAACTAAATGGAATGAAATAAACATTTACATTTCAGTCATTTAGCAGACGCTCTTATCCAGAGCGACTTACAGTAGTGAGTGCATACATGTTCATATTTGTTCGTACTGGTCCCCCACGGGAATCGAACCCACAACCCTGGCGTTGCAAGTGCCATGCTCTACCAGCTGAGCCACACAGGACCACACACTCTTGTCCCAAAACTTGTTCCTCACAAGTGTTTTTACCGCAAACAACGTGTCCACTCCGACAATGAGAACGGTAAAAGTGATAATTATATATTTAATACATTAACAGAAATGACTGTAACCAAACATTATAGATTAGAAATTATGTGAATTAACGGAAATTGTACTACTGGTGTGCCATCCCCGCGGCCTCCGAATGGATTAGTCCATTGAGACAGGAGTGAATCAGAGTCTCATGTGCCATAAAAAATATATATACACTACCGTTCAAAAGTTTGGGGTCACTTGGAAATGTCCTTGTTTTCAAAATAAAAGCAATTTTTTTGTCCATTAAAATAACATCAAATTGATCAGAAATAGTGTAGACATTGTTAATGTTGTAAATGGCTATTGTAGCTGGAAACGACTGATTTCTAATGGAATATCTACATAGCCGTACAGAGGCCCATTATCAGCAACCATCAGTCCTGTGTTCCAATGGCACGTTGTGTTTGCTAATCCAAGTTTATCATTTTAAAAGGCTAATTGATCATCAGAAAACCCTTTTGCAATTATGTTAGCACAGCTGAAAACTGTTGTGCTGATTAAAGAAGCAATAAAACTATGCTGACCTTCTAGGCAGAGTTGCAAAGAAAAATCCATATCTCAGACTGGCCAATAAAAAGAAAAGATTAAGATGAGCATGAGATATGGCTTTTTCTTTGCAACTCTGCCTAGAAGGTCAGCATCCCGGAGTTGCCTCTTCACTGTTGACGTTGAGACTGGTGTTTTGCAGGTACTATTTAAATGAAGCTGCCAGTTGAGGACCTGTGAGGCATCTGTTTCTCAAACTAGTTGTGCACCGGGGCCTCCCACTCCTCTTTCTATTGTGTTAGAGCCAGTTTGTGCTGTTCTGTGAAGGGAGTAGTACACAGCGTTGTACAAGATCTTCAGTTTCTTGGCAATTTCTCGCATGGAATAGCCTTCATTTCTCAGAACAAGAATAGACTGACGAGTTTCAGAAGAAAGTTATTTGTTTCTGGCCATTTTGAGCCTGTAATCGAACCCACAATTGCTGATGCTCCAGATACTCAACTAGTCTCAAGAAGGCCAGTTTTATTGCTTCTTTAAATCAGCACAACAGTTTTCAGCTGTGCTAACATAATTGCAAAAGGGTTTTCTAATGATCAATTAGCCTTTTAAAATGATAAACTTGGATTAGCAAACACAACGTGCCATTGGAACACAGGACTGATGGTTGCTGATAAATGGGCCTCTGTACGGCTATGTAGATATTCCATTAAAGATCAGCCGTTTCCAGCTACAATAACCATTTACAACATTAACAACGTCTACACTGTATTTCTGATCAATTTGATGTTATTTTAATGGACAAAAAAATTGCTTTTCTTTCAAAAACAAGGACATTTCTAAGTGACCCCAAACTTTTGAACGGTAGTGTATATTTTAGACTGCTCGACAAAAAAAAATCTCAGTTGACCAACAGTCTATCCACCAAACAATTGACTAAATGGGGTCAGCCCTAAAACAAACAAACTCACGCTCCATCTCTTGTCCCAGGTAGGAGCACCAGCGGTTCCTCATGTCCTCCACAGACAGCAGGTCCTTCTCTGTGTCGTGGACCAGCAGTAGGGGGATGCACGGCACGACCAGTTCATTCATGATGCTCAAGCCGTTGCTCACCTCCGGCTCCTCACCAGACTCAAACATCCCCGCCGCATTCTCATTCAGTTTCTATAGGCAAAGCACATACATATAGATCGATGACTTAGGGATTAGCTTCAAGTGGTATTCTAACAAATGTACCAGTATTAGCTACTCTGTCAAAACAGACTTACAGGACAGCCAGGTATTACTTTTCATATATTGCTATTGTATATGTCTTTACATTAGAGACCACCTCTGTATGAAAGGCTGCAGCCCAGGTAAGTCTCAGACCATTTGCATTACCACTATCTGGTAGTCATCTATTAACACTGTCAACGTCAGAGGATGTTTTCAAGGCCTGTGTTACTGACGTGGGCAGTGACGTACAAGATGATGCAGACACTTCGCTCTGTTCTCCTTAGCTAAGTCCTGCTCTGCTGCAGACACAAACTCCCTGACCTTAGCTGTGGAAAATACCTTACACAGACGCAGGCGGCCACTCCGGACTAGGTGGGGATTCACAAACAACATCCCAGTACATTAACTGTGTCAATGTTAGCAGTGTTTTCAATTAAAACAGGGCAGAAGGTAAACAGCGGGGCTGGAGAGAGTGGGACCGAGCAGGGAGCCAGGGGTTTGTTCTGGCCAGAGATCTGAGATGGTGGCTATAACTCTAACTGTAACAGAGCCCTGACGGAGCAGAGCAGAGGTTAGCTCAGGACACGGCCGTGTCTCACGGTAATGTGTTTACACTCGCTGGGCCTCCTGCTTCCTATTCCCACTCGGATGATTACATTAGGAGCACAATGCTGGTGTAAGGTTACTGAGTGCAGGAGCAGCAACAGGGCCGACGAGGAGGAACAGGGTTCCTCTCCCTCTCTCGGTTCAGACAAGACCAGTCACAGCCTGATCCGACCGACCGGGGAATCATTCCCTCTATGCCCTAACAGATAGAACCAGAGCACAGCTTGGAGATGGGATAGTAAACAAAATGAAACTGTGGTCTGATCAGAATATTGAATGGATTTTTCCTCCAAACAAATACAGTGGCTTCAGAAAGTATTCATACCCCTTGACTTGTTACAGCCTGAATTCAAAATGGATTAAATATATTTATTTTCTCACATCTACACACAATACCCCATAATGACAAAGTGAAAATATGTTTTTAGACATTTCTGCACATTTATTGAAAATGAAATACAGAAATATGTCATTTACTTAAGTATTCATACCCCTAAGTCAATACATGTTAGAATCACCTTTGGCAGCGATTACATCTGGGAGTCTTTTTGGGTAGGTCTCTAAGAGCTTTGCACACCTGGAATGTACAATATTTGTACATTATCCTTTTAAAAACTTTTTTAAACTCTTCAAGCTTTGGCTGTTGATCATTTTGAAGTCTTGCCATATATTTTCAAGCCGATTTAAGTCAAAACTGTAACTAAGCCACTAAGGAACATTCAATGTCGTCCTGGTAAGCAACACCAGTGTATATTTGGCCTTGTGTTTTAGGTTATTGTTCTGCTGAAAGGTGTATTTGTCTCCCAGTGTCTGTTGGAAAGCAGACAGAACCAGGTTTTCCTCTAGGAGTTTGTCTGAGCTTAGCTCTATTCTGTTTCTTTATATCCTAAAAAACTCCCTAGTCCTTGCCGATACCCATAACATGATGCAGCCACCACCATGCTTGAAAATATTAAGAGTGGTACTCATGATGTGTTGTGTTGGATTTTCCCAAACATAACACTTTGTATTCTGGACATAAAGTGAATTTCTTTGCCACATTTTTTGCAGTTTTACTTTAGTGCCTTATTGCAAACAGGATGCAGGCCCCCTTCTTTTCACTCTGTAATTTAGGTTAGTATTGTGGAGTAACTACAATGTTGTTGATCCATTCTCAGTTTTCTCCTATCACAGCCATTACATTCTGTAACTGTTTTAAAGTCACCATTGGCCTTATGGTGAAATTCCTGAGCGGTTTCCTTCCTCTCCGGCAACTGAGTTAGGAAGGACACCTGTATCTTTATAGTGACTGGACGTATTGATACACCAGCCAAAGGGTAATTAATAACATCACTATGCCCAAAGGGATATTCAATGTCTGCTTTATTTTTTAACACATCTACCAATAAAACCCTTCTTTGCGAGGCATTGGAAAAGGTCAAGGGGTGTGAATACTTTCTGAAGACACTGTAGCATCTGCTGAGAAAAATTATGTTGGATCTTTATGGGCAATAAAAAAGGCAATGTAATATCTCAGCTAGAACAGGAACAAGCCCTGCATCAATTCTAGAGATTATGGGGTGGAGGGTTCAACATTAGTCACTGTGAATAGCAGGATGGCATAGATGAGTTAGGAGGTCAGAGACCGAGAGACTTGCTGATGATGAGACAGAGGATAGTGGTATTAATTCTTCAAAGAGAATGACTTGAACTACTTCCACTGTGACCTATTGATTTGATTGGAAACATGTGATGATCTTTGAAACACAATGGACTAACTTTGATCACTTTCTTTACATTTAGGCTGAAACTTTGTTATGTACCAAATGCTAAATCTGCTGCAGCATAAGAAAATCATACCGCATCTTACATGAACTAACTACATAAGGTCAATTGACAGACACTTCCAATAGTACAGTGGTTCAGTTGTTGTATGATTGTGAGTGATGTCAGGGGAGGGTTGTCTCACCAGCAGGCACTCTCTCCGGTAGAGCCCTATGAGCTCATCGTCGTGACCTCGGTACAGCCCTTTGACCAACAGCTCTCTGTTGTACTGGTATGAATAGATCAGGTACATCAAGGCCTCCACAAAGCTACAGAGAAACAGACACAGTCAGATACATTATAGTAGCATCAGGGTGCAACAAACTTAACCACAAGGGCTGCGTTTACACAGGCAGCCCAATAATGATTGTTTCCACTAATTGGTCTTTTGACCAATCACATCAGATCTTTTCACATCTTTTTCAGAGCTGATCTGATTGGTCAAAAAAGTGGAACAAAAAGTCAAAATTGGGCTGCCTGTGTAAATGCTACCATAGAGAGGCAGAGGAGATCTAAAATCAGGTTTAGCTGTGTCTACAAGGGATAGTAGAGTAGGAACAGTCAGGCCTTTTTCATTAAGAGGATTTAAAACAGATGTATTGGAGGGAGAATTAACAGAAGAAACTGAGGAATTAACCAAGTACATGAACAACCATCTTGATCTATGCCAGACTGACTGAGATCCAGACATAAGGATAGGGGGATGTTAAAGGACCTGCTTCCCTCTACAGGTGACTTTAGGAAGTTCACATGCTTAACAAAGCTGCACTATCAGGTGCTTCTACTAATAATGCAATAATCTAGAGAGTATTTTAATCTAGATTTTAAATGTATTCTATACTGAAATGGTTGGGCAATGTGAGTTCCCATTTGTTTGCAGTAAGATTGGAAATAAAAGCTCTGGGTCGTGAAGAGAAGAACGTGACAACAGTCCAGCCAATTGGCAGTCTCACCTTCTCTTCTGGAACAGCTCCAAACCAATCATCAGGAAGATTGTTGTCTCGCGGAAATTCCTGTAGTCCTGATGCCACATCTGTGAACATTGTAGGGAACAGAGTTCACGAGAAAGAGCTTGAAAGGATTTTAAGGACAGATCTATAACATTTGGATCTAACTGTTAGTACATAAAAGCGTAATTACATTTTCCCCATTGGATTATCCATAGCAGAGGTTAGTTGGGTCAGTTACAATTTAGAGATTGTAATGATTTAAACCTTATACTCAAATGTAAACAATTCTAATACTAGTTTATTCTGTTTCATTTCAACTGTCAAAACATCCTGAATAAGATGTTCCAGACAAAACATTGTAAATCAGTCAAAACCAGAGTGTTTCAGAATGCTGACCTCATACTCCTCCATGTTGATCTCCTCTGGCTTAATGAGATCTAGTTTGGCACGGGCCACCTTCATAATGCTCTTACACCTGAGAGAGAGATGGGGGGGGGGGGGGGGAATGGAAAGAAAGGGAAAGTGAAAGAGAGAAAGTGAGTGGAAAGAGGAGAGTAAGGTAGAGAGAGTGCTGTTGGTATGATGAATCATACTGGTGAGTTACTAGCTACTCCAGGAGATGAACCAGTACACAGTGGTCCTGGGGCTGCGACACACAGGCCCCATGAATCACTGCTTACTGCAGAGAAACACTACTACTGAACCACACACTCCTCCTCTCCAGAGCTTCTTATTGAGGCCACATGCAACACAGAAATCGTATTAAAACCGGGTAGTTTGACTCCTGGATGCTGATTGGCTGAAAGCTGTGGTATATCAGACATTATAAGACTGTATACTATGGGTATGACAAAACATTTATTTTTACTGTTCAAATTACGTTGGTAACCAGTTTATAATAGCAATTAGGCACCTCGGGTTTGTGGTGTATGGCCAATATACCACGGCTAAGTGATGTATCCAGGCACTCAGTGTTGTACCTAAGAACAGCCCTAAACTGTGGTATATTGGCCATATACCACAGCCCCTCAGGCTTTATTGCTTAATTATACCTGCTCAGAATAGAGAAAAATCAATTCACTGATGAAAATGGATTATGACTACCCTCTGCTGGTGAATTTGTGAAGTTCAGAGGTAATAAACTGGTGTTTTCCTTTTTATCAAAGAAAGATGAGACAAACTCATCATTCAAATAGGAGTTACAGGAAACACGTTTTGGTGGTGTAACCCATAAATACCGTTCGTCAAAGCCCAGGTTTCTGTCGGCAAACTGCATGAGGAGGGTTCTCTCCAGGATCTTCTTGGGGGCCTGGTTCTGGATGAAGTAGACGATGACGTGCTGCAGTCGGTAGTCGTTCTCCGGGGCTGTGTCCTCCTGGGCAAACCTCAGCAGACGGGTGTACTCCACCTTAATGGCCTGAGACACACAGATAGAGCATGCGGTGAATGGACTTTGATAGACCAAGCTAACATTAGCACTTCAGAGTGTAGGCCTAGATTAGAACACTGATAAACATCTGCAGCAGCAGGAGACAAAACCATCCTCTTCCACGTAAGAGTTGTCAAGATCATCCTCCTTATCCTTGTAAACAAAACTCAAAGAGTTGATTCAAGTTCTCTTTCTTCAAATGAACCTCATTGTCTATGTGACACCAAGTCCCATTTCTGGAGGATGCTTTTGATGAGAACAACTGACTCAAAAAGAGAACACAGAACTGAGGAATGCCAGGTAAAACGGGATGGGAGGATGGTTGTTGAGAGGAATGCAGTAGAAGTACAGCATCAGAGAAGGAGTGAATAAAGGTGTGAGAGAGAAAGAGAAAAGAGATGAGATCGGGATGTACCTTGAAGAAGGCCGCTTCAGGCCCAAGCTCTTCAAACACAGTCCTTGCTTTGCCAATGGACATTATAATACCCTGCATGTTTGGAGTCATCATGGCCTGCAGTACCCAAGGAGTGGAAGCATGTTACAACAGTAGAAAATAAATCCCCTTAGAATGGAACGAGCCCAGCAAGCCCCCAAAATAATACACCTTTCTGGTACAGCCCTATGTGAGCTGTCCTGGGCATAGCGTATAACAGTCAGCAGACCATGCATATGTTAGAGTCACTCCACTACTGTGAGGTACACACACAACCCGTCATGTGAAGGACACAATGGATGCTTTAAAATACATTGTCATGTGAAGGACAGTCTCTGTGAAAGGCAGCCCTGTGAAGGTAGAGGTCCTTATTGTAAAGACAGTCCCTACAGACAGCCCTGTAGAAAGTCCTAGTGTGGTACAGCAAGCAGACAGTCTTTGGTCTATTTAAGGGCATAGAAACTAAACAACATTGATTCTACTACAGCACTTTGACAACATTATTACAAAACCAACTAATTTATTGATAGGATCAGTGAGACGATGCAGTTACATTAAGCTTGTATTTTTCCCCTCCCAAAGGGTTTTTATATGATACATATTTGTATGAATCAAAAAGGATGTTATAAATAGTAAGACATAACTGTGCAAATCACATTTACTTTTCACATTTGCTGCTGAGCTGCAGTTTATTTCTCTGCAGCAAAAATAAACACTCTAGACAACTGAGTCGATGTTTAGGTGAAGTTTCTGTACAAATATCTCTGATGAGAACCGAAGGCTTCTGTGTAGAGTAGAGTGCTTCTGTTGCAAAATGCAAGTAGGCTTGACAGGGATAGGCTTTTCACACACTATGTTTTTAAAGCTAGCCCAAGGCTAGTTTCATCTTCTAGGATAGTACACTGGCTGTAGTCTAATATAGCACCCTATCTTAGTCTGCCAAGACGTTTGGTTGAAAATGCCAACTGTCCTGAGCTAACCATGACTCTTGTTTGAAAACTACTCTGAATTAAGATTTACTCAGGTGTGAAAAGCCTATAGTAGAGACAAGAGGAGAAAATCTCCTCATCCTAATCACCAAACAGGCAAGATACTTTTTAGCACACCAAAGAAGAGTCAGCTGGGTGAGCCGAGTGTCGAGCGCTACCTCGTCATCGTACCCCCCCTCCTCTGACTCGATGACAAAGGTTTCCACCTGGGGGATGGCCACCTTTAACGTATGGTGGGCAGGGGGCTCATCCTCCACAGGGGGGTCAGTGTCAGAGGGAGGGGTGAGAGAGGTTTCATGGTTCACCTTTATCTCAGGCTGAGGCTGGGGGGGAGGGCATGGGGATACACTCTCTCCACTGGACTGTGGAGAGAGCTGGTGAGAGTGAACAAGCAAGAGAGAAAGAGCAAGAAACATAGCACAAAGTTAAACCGAAAGAAAAAAGGAAAAAGGGTGAAAATAACTTTACTGGGGTTGAGTGGTAAGCCTAAGTGGTTCTTTGAAGTGAGCGTAGTAGGAGCAGTTGTATGGTGTATGTCAGAGGTGGATTATGTGTGTGTGTGTTACAGTGAGGGAAAAAAAGTATTTGATCCCCTGCTGATTTTGTAAGTTTGCCCACTGACAAAGAAATGATCAGTCTATAATTTTAATGGTAGGTTTATTTGAACAGTGAGAGACAGAATAACAACAACAAAATCCAGAAAAACGCATGTCAAAAATGTTATAAATTGATTTGCATTTTAAAATGAGGGAAATAAGTATTTGACCCCCTCTCAATCAGAAAGATGTCTGGCTCCCAGGTGTCTTTTATACAGGTAACGAGCTGAGATTAGGAGCACACTCTTAAAGGGAGTGCTCCTAATCTCAGCTTGTTACCTGTATAAAAGAGTCCTGTCCACAGAAGCAATCAATGAATCAGATTACAAACTTTCCACCATGGCCAAGACCAAAGAGCTCTCCAAGGATGTCAGGGACAAGATTGTAGACCTACACAAGGCTGGAATGGGCTATAAGACCATCGCCAAGCAGCTTGGTGAGAAGGTGACAACAGTTGGTGCGATTATTCGCAAATGGAAGAAACACAAAATAACTGTCAATCTCCTTCGGCCTGGGGCTCCATGCAAGATCTCACCTCGTGGAGTTGCAATGATCATGAGAACGGTGAGGAATCAGCCCAGAACTACACGGGAGGATCTTGTCAATGATCTCAAGGCAGCTGGGACCATAGTCACCAAGAAAACAATTGGTAACACACTAAGCCGTGAAGGACTGAAATCCTGCAGCGCCCGCAAGGTCCCCCTGCTCAAGAAAGCACATATACAGGGCCGTCTGAAGTTTGCCAATGAACATCTGAATGATTCAGAGGAGAACTGGGTGAAAGTGTTGTGGTCAGATGAGACCAAAATCAAGCTCTTTGGCATCAACTCAACTCGCCGTGTTTGGAGGAGGAGGAATGCTGCCTATGACCCCAAGAACACCATCCCCACCGTCAAACATGGAGGTGGAAACATTATGCTTTGGGGGTGTTTTTCTGCTAAGGGGACAGGACAACTTCACCGCATCAAAGGGACGATGGACGGGGCCATGTACCGTCAAATCTTGGGTGAGAACCACCTTCCCTCAGCCAGGGCATTGAAAATGGGTCGTGGTTGGGTATTCCAGCATGACAATGACCCAAAACACACGGCCAAGGCAACAAAGGAGTGGCTCAAGAAGAAGCACATTAAGGTCCTGGAGTGGCCTAGCCAGTCTCCAGACCTTAATCCCATAGAAAATATGTGGAGGGAGCTGAAGGTTAGAGTTGCCAAACGTCAGCCTCGAAACCTTAATGACTTGGAGAAGATCTGCAAAGAGGAGTGGAACAAAATCCCTCCTGAGATGTGTGCAAACCTGGTGGCCAACTACAAGAAACGTCTGACCTCTGTGATTGCCAACAAGGGTTTTGCCACCAAGTACTAAGTAATGTTTTGCAGAGGGGTCAAATACTTATTTCCCTCATTAAAATGCAAATTAATTTATAACATTTTTGACATGCATTTTTCTGGACTTTTTTGTTGTTATTCTGTCTCTCACTGTTCAAATAAACCTACCATTAAAATTATAGACTGATCATGTCTTTGTCAGTGGGCAAACGTACAAAATCAGCAGAGGATCAAATACTTTTTTCCCTCACTGTATGTGCTGTGCTGTATGGTCTTACTGCAGTAAGCAGTCCCTCAGGGCTCCTCTCCTGCTGCTGCTGCTCGGCTGCAGCCTTGGAGATGGCCCTCTCTGTGTCCTCCTGCAGGTGCTTGGAGTCGTCTGTGGGGGACGGCTGCTCCATGTACTCTGGGTCCTGCTGTGGAGCTGGAGGAACCACACACAGACAAACACATAAACCAACAAAGCATAAATGTCATAAGTCTACCTGTCTAATATAATTTTTGCCCAAACTCTGCTGGCCTGGAAATGTTATTTTTACACTTCCAGCAACTATGGTGGATGCATATCCAGATCAGCACTAGTGATGTTCAGTTCGCAAATTTTTTGTTCTTTTTGAACTACTCTTTTTACTGACTCGACAGTCATGGGCACCCGGACTATTTACATTGACCCCCCCCTTTTGTTTTACACTGCTGCTACTCGCTGTTCACTATCTATGCATAATCACTTTACCCCTAACTACATGTAAAAATAACCTCGACTAACCTGTACCGCTGCACATTGACTCGGTACCAGTACCCCCTGTATATAGCCTCGTTACTGTTATTTTGTGTTACTTTTATTTTATTTAGTAAATATTTTCTCAACTCTATTTTCTTAAAACTGCATTGTTGGTTAAGGGCTCATAAGTAAGCATTTCACGGTAAGGTCTACACATGTTGTATTCGGCGCATGTGACAAATACAATTTCATTTGATTTAGCTGAGACTCATCTCTAATTATTTTCACCTGACTTACAACAATGTATCTGATGCTGTCTGGACCAAAAGAGTATGGCATGTCATACTATTTATGTCCAGACAGCATCAGATACATAGGCTACATAAAGTAAGACAGAGGGGTGCTGTTTCGCTCACTCGGATGCTTTCTCCGGTGAGAGTGTTTCAGCAGAGAGGAAGAGGCGACGCGAGAGGGCTCATTCTCGCCACAATCTGTCCAGAATAAGCCCAATGCGTTTCTATGGGCAAAATATGCAGACCTAAGCTTGTCTTCCTGCTTTAGGGACAATGACTCCCATTGTTAGGGCGGCGACATGAGCATCTCGTCATTATAAAGCTCTCTGGTTTCCGACGCTTGCCAATTGGAAAGGAAAGTTGGCGGGTGCACTGTTAGGATGCTGGCTTCCTTACAAGTAAATTTATGTTTTGCCAAAATTATATAATATACAGTGGGGAAAAAAAGTATTTAGTCAGCCACCAATTGTGCAAGTTCTCCCACTTACAAAGATTAGAAAGGCCTGTAATTTTCATCATAGGTACACGTCAAATATGACAGACAAAATGAGATTTTTTTTCTCTCCAGGAAATCACATTGTAGGATTTTTCATGAATTTATTTGCAAATTATGATGGAAAATAAGTATTTGGTCAATAACAAAAGTTTCTCAATACTTTGTTATATACCCTTTGTTGGCAATGACACAGGTCAAACGTTTTCTGTAAGTCTTCACAAGGTTTTCACACACTGTTGCTAGTATTTTGGCCCATTCCTCCATGCAGATCTCCTCTAGAGCAGTGATGTTTTGGGGCTGTCGCTGGGCAACACGGACTTTCAACTCCCTCCAAAGATTTTCTATGGGGTTGAGATCTGGAGACTGGCTAGGCCACTCCAGGACCTTGAAATGCTTCTTACGAAGCCACTCCTTCGTTGCCCGGGCGGTGTGTTTGGGATCATTGTCATGCTGAAAGACCCAGCCATGGCCCCATTCATTCTTTCCTTTACACGGATCAGTTGTTCTGGTCCCTTTGCAGAAAAACAGCCCCAAAGCATGATGTTTCCACCCCCATGCTTGACAGTGGGTATGGTGTTCTTTGGATGCAACTCAGCATTCTTTGTCCTCCAAACACGACGAGTTGAGTTTTTACCAAAAAGTTATATTTTGGTTTCATCTGACCATATGACATTCTCCCAATCCTCTTCTGGATCATCCAAATGCACTCTAGCAAACTTCAGACAGGCCTGGACATGTACTGGCTTAAGCAGGGGGACACGTCTGGCACTGCAGGATTTGAGTCCCTGGCGGCGTAGTGTGTTACTGATGGTAGGCTTTGTTACTTTGGTCCCAGCTCTCTGCAGGTTATTCACTAGGTCCCCCCGTGTGGTTCTGGGATTTTTGCTCACCGTTCTTGTGATCATTTTGACCCCACGGGGTGAGATCTTGCGTGGAGCCCCAGATCGAGGGAGATTATCAGTGGTCTTGTATGTCTTCCATTTCCTAATAATTGCTTCCACAGTTGATTTCTTCAAACCAAGCTGCTTACCTATTGCATATTCAGTCTTCCCAGCCTGGTGCAGGTCTACAATTTTGTTTCTGGTGTCCTTTGACAGCTCTTTGGTCTTGGCCATAGTGGAGTTTGGAGTGTGACTGTTTGAGGTTGTGGACAGGTGTCTTTTATACTGATAACAAGTTCAAACAGGTGCCATTAATACAGGTAACGAGTGGAGGACAGAGGAGCCTCTTAAAGAAGAAGTTACAGGTCTGTGAGAGACAGAAATCTTGCTTGTTTGTAGGTGACCAAATACTTATTTTCCACCATAATTTGCAAATAAATTCATTAAAAATCCTACAATGTGATTTTCTGGATTTTCTTTCTCAATTTGTCTGTCATAGTTGACGTGTACCTATGATGAAAATTACAGGCCTCTCTCATTGTTTTAAGTGGGAGAACTTGTACAATTGTTGGCTGACTAAATACTTTTTTTCACCACTGTATGTCCTCAGTGAAAGTTGCGCCCCTGCTCAAGACACATTATCATCACACATATTTTAGATGCTTTTCACTGACAGCCGCAACTCAATCAGCTAGACATATTGCCACGTGCGCTGCCCAAATTGCGGGATTCCCAAATAGGCATAGGCCTACACACTTGGGACATGAAACAATCCACAGCAACACAAAAATAATAAGCTAATGATTCTCTGTGGCTAAGTCATGCTCTCTGGTGAGGTATTTTGAATGTTTTTATATACAGTGGGGAAAAAAAGTATTTAGTCAGCCACCAATTGTGCAGGTTCTCCCACTTAAAAAGATGAGAGAGGCCTTTAATTTTCATCATAGGTACACGTCAACTATAACAGACAAATTGAGAAAAAAAAATCCTGAAAATCACATTGTAGGATTTTTTATGAATTTATTTGCAAATTATGGTGGAAAATAAGTATTTGGTCACCTACAAACAAGCAAGATTTCTGGCTCTCACAGACCTGTAACTTCTTCTTTAAGAGCCTCCTCTGTCCTCCACTCGTTACCTGTATTAATGGCACCTGTTTGAACTTGTTATCAGTATAAAAGACACCTGTCCACAACCTCAAACAGTCACACTCCAAACTCCACTATGGCCAAGACCAAAGAGCTGTCAAAGGACACCAGAAACAAAATTGTAGACCTGCACCAGGCTGGGAAGACTGAATCTGCAATAGGTAAGCAGCTTGGTTTGAAGAAATCAACTGTGGGAGCAATTATTAGGAAATGGAAGACATACAAGACCACTGATAATCTCCCTCGATCTGGGGCTCCACGCAAGATCTCACCCCGTTGGGTCAAAATGATCACAAGAACGGTGAGCAAAAATCCCAGAACCACACGGGGGACCTAGTGAATGACCTGCAGAGAGCTGGAACCAAAGTAACAAAGCCTACCATCAGTAACACACTACGCCGCCAGGGACTCAAATCCTGCAGTGCCAGACGTGTCCCCCTGCTTAAGCCAGTACATGTCCAGGCTCGTCTGAAGTTTGCTAGAGTGCATTTGGATGATCCAGAAGAGGATTAGGAGAATGTCATATGGTCAGATGAAACCAAAATATAACTTTTTGGTGAAAACTCAACTCGTCGTGTTTGGAGGACAAAGAATGATGAGTTGCATCCAAAGAACACCATACCTACTGTGAAGCATGGGGGTGGAAACATCATGATTTGGGGCTGTTTTTCTGCAAAGGGACCAGGACGACTGATCCGTGTAAAGGAAAGAATGAATGGGGCCATGTATTGTGAGATTTTGAGTGAAAACCTCCTTCCATCAGCAAGGGCATTGAAGAAGAAACGTGGCTGGGTCTTTCAGCATGACAATGATCCCAAACACACCGCCCGGGCAACGAAGGAGTGGCTTCATAAGAAGCATTTCAAGGTCCTGGAGTGGCCTAGCCAGTCTCCAGATCTCAACCCCATAGAAAATCTTTGGAGGGAGTTGTAAGTCCGTGTTGCCCAGCGACAGCCCCAAAACATCACTGCTCTAGGAGAGATCTGCATGGAGGAATGGGCCAAAATACCAGCAACAGTGTGTGAAAACCTTGTGAAGACTTACAGAAAACATTTGACCTGTGTCATTGCCAACAAAGGGTATATAACAAAGTATTGAGAAACTTTTGTTATTGACCAAATACTTATTTTCCACCACAATTTGCAAATAAATTCATTAAAAATCCTACAATGTGATTTTCTGGATTCTTTTTTTCTCATTTTGTCTGTCATTAGTTGACGTGTACCTATGATGAAAATGACAGGCCTCTCTCATCTTTTTAAGTGGGAGAACTTGCACAATTGGTGGCTGACTAAATACTTTTTTCCGCCACTGTGTGTGTGTGTGTGTGTATATATATATATATATATATATATATATATATATATATATATATATATATATATATATATATATATATATATATATATATATATATATAAACGCGCAAGCACGTGCACACATGAGGTCCCGTTAAAAGGCCCGTCCAACTGATTATTACTTATGTGTGAACACTGGACTGGTGCCAAAGTGAACACAGGCTCATCCTTGATACAAAAATAACACTGTTACAGTCTGGGCCTATTATGTTAGTGGGCTTATTTACACTGAACAAAATTATAAACGTAACATGCAACAATGTCACAGATTTTACTGAGTTACAGTTCATATGAGGAAATCCGTCAATTGAAATGAATTCATTAGGCCCTAATCTATGAATTTCACATGACTGGGTATATAGATATGCATCGGTTGGTCACAGATATCTTAAAAATAAAGAAAGAAAGGCATGGGTGTGGATCAGAAAACCAGTCAGTATCTGGTGTGACCGCCATGCGCCTCATGCAGCGCGACATCTCCTTCACATAGAGTTGATCAGGCTGTTGATTGTGGCCTATGGAATGTTGTCCCACTCGTCTTCAATGGCTGTGCGAAGTTGCTGGATATTGGCGGGAACTGGAACATGCTGTCGTACACGTCGATCCAGAGCATCCCAAACATGCTCAATGGGTGACAAGTCTGGTGAGTATGCAGGTCATGGAAGAACTGGGACATTTTCAAATTCAAGGAATTGCGTACAGATCCTTGCGACATGGGGCCGTGCATTATTATGCTGAAACATGAGGTAATGGCGGCGGATGAATGGCACGACAATGTGCCTCAGGATCTCGTCACGGTATCTCTGTGCATTCAAATTGTCATTGATAAAATGCAATTGTGTTCGTTGTCCGTAGCTTATGCCTGCCATAACCCCACCGCCACCATGGGGCACTCTGTTCACAACGTTGACTTCAGCAAACCACTCGCCCACACAATGCCATACACAAGGTCTACGGTTGTGAGGTCGGTTGGACGTTCTGCCAAATTCTCTAAAACGACGTTGGAGGCAGCTTATGGTAGAGAATTTAACATTGAATTATCTGGCAACAGCCCTGGTGGACATTCCTACAGTCAGCATGCCAATTGTGCCCTCCCTCAAAACTTGAGATATCTGTGGCACTGTGTTGTGTGAAAAAACAGCACATTTTAGAGTGGCCTTTTATTTTCCCCAGCACAAGATACACCTATGTAATGATCATGCTGTTTAATAAACTTCTTGATATGCCACACCTGTCACATGGATGGATTATCTTGGCAAAGGAGAAACGCTCAATAACAGGGATGTAAACAAATGTGAGCACAACATTTTAGATAAATAAGCTTTTGTGCCTATGGAACATTTCTGGGATATTTTATTTCAGTTCATAAAAAATATGGGACCATGAAGCTGGTTGAGAGAATGCCAAGAGTGTTGCAAAGCTGTCATCAAAGCAAAGGGTGGCTACTTTGAAGAATCTCAAATGTAAAATATATTTTGATTTGTTTAACACTTTTTTGGTTACTACATGATTCCATATGTGTTATTTCATAGTTTTGATGTCTTCACTATTATTCTACAATGTAGAAAATAGTAAAAATAAAGAAAAACCATTGAATGAGTAGGTGCGTCCAAACTTTTGACTGGTACTGTATATCGGTAATCGGTGACTGTTGCCTCCCTAAAATTGGTATCGGACCCATAAATTCTATATCGGTCGGGCTCTATGTAGAATCTTGATTCTTTCGAGTTTTTAGTTAATCGTTAGCTGGTAGGGGGTCCTGCGTGCTCTGAGCATTACTGAATCCAATTAACAAACTTAGTTGAACGATTCGCTCTTTTGATTGAAGAGTTGAAAAGATCTGAGTCAAAAGAGCCAACCTTCCCATCACTAGTCAGCACTGCTCAGCAGTGTTTAAATGGAATAGGTGACCATGCCTTGGCCCTCACCTGAGTTGTCTGGTGTACTGGGCTCTGTGCTCATAGGCTGAGGGGATGTTGTTGTTTCTGCTGTTTCTGCTGCTGCAGCTGTTGCGGCAGCGGCCACAGCCAGGGCCAGCTTCTCCTGCTGGGCCTTACGTGCCTGCAGTGTGTCCCATTCCTCCATCTCCTTGTCAAACAGGCCGTTGTCCTCATTCACGTAGGCCTTCAGGTCCGGGGGGAGCTTATCCAGACCACTCAGCATCTGGCCCGTCTCCTTATCAAACTCCTCTGCACACACAACCAGGCAATCAGATAGTAAATATGGGTATATATACACACATGCTTACATTTTACATTTACATTTTAGTCATTTAGCAGACGCTCTTATCCAGAGCGACTTACAGTTAGTGACTGCATACATTATATATTTTTTTCCATACTGGCCCCCCGTGGGAATCGAACCCACAACCCTGGCGTTGCAAACGCCATGCTCTACCAATATCCCTGCCGGCCATTCCCTCCCCTACCCTGGACGACGCTGGGCCAATTGTGCGCCGCCCCATGGGTCTCCCGGTCGCGGCCGGCTACGACAGAGCCTGGATTCTAACCAGGATCTCTAGTGGCACAGCTAGCACTGCGATGCAGTGCCTTAGACCACTGCGCCACTCGGATGACGCTTAGTAGTGGAACATCCTGTCCAAGTGCAGCACAAACAGATCTTAACAATAACCAACTACCTTGCACATGGCATGTCCTCATCACATACTCTGAGGACAGTGGTCATGGTTAATGATGATCACATGAAAGAAGAAAACAAAGCTCCAGTATACCATAAGAAAGGCAAGGTCAAAATAAAGCTATGGGATAATAATGCTGATTCTACCTTCTATGAGGAAGGGCTTCTTGTCGTTGATGTACATGAGGCAGTAGGCGCTGGCGTTGCGGTAGCCTCCGAAAGAGTCCCTGACCAGCTCCTCCCAGGAGGACTTGGTGACCGAGATGTCGTTGTATTTCATCCAGCGCCGCTGGTGGGGGTTGTAGATGTAAGCCCAGTAGTGGCCCGCATTGGCCTGGCCCTCGTGCACCAACACCGCATGCAGCCGGTACGGAACCTGGGAGACAGCAGGAGACAATGAATGACCATCCCTTGAGTTAACACTGGTCATGGAAAAATGTGAGTGCTCTCAAATCAAGATGATAGTGCATCATTCATTTGATGATTTGTATTACAGCCAATGACAATGTATGGTATTTGTGTGAAGGTGTATCGTCAGGTTTAGTCAGGGCATCTTTTACCTGCATCATGGACTTGTCAGAGTACATCATCTCGATGGTTCTGTGGATTCTGGATATACTGCCCTGAAGATCTGTAGAAGCAAAATCAACCCATCATTAGAATTCATATTTTTTTGTGCGTGAGAGCATAAGAGACATACAGAGGTAAACCCAAGATGCTGTATTATACACAAGGCTGTATGAGGTCAGAGGTGCCATACGAACCGCTGGTGTCGTTTTCCACCTCACTCCTCCAGCGGTGCAGGCAGACCTCCAGCACCCTGAGCTCCTCCTCAGTGATGTGGCGTGGGGCCGGGTGCATGGGCAAGTCAGGGGGCAGTCGGGACTGGGTGAAGGGCTTGTGGATAGGCACTCTCTGCTGGGTGGAGGGGGCTGGGGTGGGACCCGAGGTGGGGGCCAAACCCTCTGAAGGGGTAGAGGAGGGACTCTGTTCGGCTGTGCTGTAATGTCAGGCGAGTGTGAAGAAGTCAAAACCACCACTCGGTACTTCTGAATCACACTCATTCAACAGCTCAATCAGACAGATTTGCAGACAAAAGAAAAATCAGAAACATGCACACATGAACACTTAAATCCTGACACAGGGAGACAGAGTGTGGCATGCCCTGTGTTTTATGACTTGCCTTGGAGCGGGCAGCAGCTGCCCTGTTGTGCCACCAGGGGGTGCTGATGTGTCTATGTCCCCCACAGGAGAGGTGCAGACTGGCTTACTGGAGGCAAACTCCATGGCGTACTGCAGGACATCTGCCAGAGGAAACCTCTTGGGGCCGGAGCCATAGCTCAGATACCTGGGGGACACACACACAGAGAGACAGAGAGTGCAGAACAAAGAGAGGATGACAAACCATACTGAGAATGAGAACGCATCTTTCAGTGAAAGAGTAGAGCAAAAGCAAAGCGAGATACTTGGTTAGAAGAAGAACAGATATGGTATATATGAACACCATCCCTTTGATAGTTGATCAACCTAAGAGAGTAAACAGATGTGTGTGTGTAGCAGCCCAGCCCACCTCTCCAGACGCTGTTGGAGTAGAGTCAGGTGCTCTTTCAGTCTCCTGATCTCCTCCCGTTTAATCCTGGTGATCTCTCGATTCCTGTCCATATACCTGTCAAAACACAACAGAAATCAGATAAATTCCTTGGAAAACTATGGGCGGGTATCCCAGATTAAGGACCACAACCCATGCTCAATGTAAACTATCAATTGAAAGTATTTTTTATCAAGCCCCTTAAATTTGGAAGGAGCCCAGGAAACCCCAAAAATCAAAATAATATGTTATTTAAGCTACAGTGCCTTGCAAAAGTATTCATCCACCTTGGCGTTTTTCCTATTTTGTTGCATTACAACCTGTAATATAAATGGATTTTTATTTGGATTTCATGTAATGGACATACACAAAATAGTCCAAATTCGTGAAATGAAATAAATTACTTGTTTCAAAAAATTCTAAAAAATAAATTACGGAAAAGTGGTGCGTGCATATGTATTCACTTTGCTATGAAGCCCCTAAATAAGATCTGATGCAACCAATTACCATCAGAAGTCACATAATTAGTTAAATAAAGTCTACCTGTGTGCAATCTAAGTGTCACATGATCTGTCACATGATCTCAGTATATACACAAACCTGTTCTGAAAGGCCCCAGAGTCTGCAACACCACTAAGAAAGGGGCACCACCAAGCAAACGGCACCATGAAGACCAAGGAGCTCTCCAAACAAGTCAGGGACAAAGTTGTGGAGAAGTACAGATCAGGGTTGGGTTATACAAAAATATCAGAAACTTTGAACATCCCATGGAGTACCATTAAATCCATTATTAAAAAATGGAAAGAATTTGGCACCACAACAAACCTGCCAAGTGAGGGCCGCCCACCAAAACTCACAGACCAGGCAAGGAGGGCATTAATCAGAGGGGCAACAGAGACCAAAGATAACCCTGAAGGAGCTGATTGGAGTATCTGTCCATAGGGCCACTTTAAGCCGTACACTCCACAGAGCTGGGCTTTATGGAAGAGTGGCCAGAAAAAAGCCACTGCTTAAAGAAAAAAATAAGCAAACACGTTTGGTGTTCGCCAAAAGGCATGTGGGAGACTCCCCAAACACATGGAAGAAGGTACTCTGGTCAGATGAGACTAAAATTGAGCTTTTTGGCCATCAAGGAAAACGCTACAGTTGAAGTCGGAAGTTTACATACACTTAGGTTTAAGTCATTAAAACTTGTTTTTCAACCACTCCACAAATGTCTTGTTAACAAACTATAGTTTTGGCAAGTTGGTTATCTACTTTGTGCATGACAAGTAATTTTTCCAACAATTGTTTACAGACAGATTATTTCACTTATAATTCACCGTATCACAATTCCAGTGGGTCAAAAGTTTATACACTAAGTTGACTGTGCCTTTAAACAGCCTGGAAAATTCCAGAAAATGATGTCATGGCTTTAGAAGCTTCTCATAGGCTAACTGACATCATTTGAGTCAATTGGAGGTGTACCTGTGGATGTATTTCAAGGCCTACCTTCAAACTCAGTGCCTCTTTGCTTGACATCATGGGAAAATCAAAAGAAAATCAGCCAAGTAGACCTCCACAAGTCTGGTTCATCCTTGGGAGCAATTTCCAAATGCCTGAAGGTACCACGTTCATCTGTACAAACAATAGTATGCAAGTATAAACACCATGGGACCACGCAGCCCTCATACCGCTCAGGAAGGAGACGCGTTCTGTCTCCTAGAGATGAACATACTTTGGTGAGAAAAGTGCAAATCAATCCCAGAACAGCAAAAGGACCTTGTGAAGATGCTGGAGGAAACAGGTACAAAAGTATCTATATCCACAGTAAAACGAGTACTATATCGACATAACCTGAAAGGCCGCTCAGCAAGGAAGAAGCCACTGCGCCAACATCGCCATACAAAAGCCAGACTATGGTTTGCAACTGCACATGGGGACAAAGATCGTTCTTTTTGGAGAAATGTCCTCTGGTCTGATGAAACAAAAATAGAACTGTTTGGCCATAATGACCATTGTTATGTTTGTAGGAAAAAGGGGGTTGCTTGCAAGCCGAAGAACACCATCCCAACCATGAAGCACGGGGGTGGCAGCATCATGCTGTGGGGGTGCTTTGCTGCAGGAGGGACTGGTGCACTTCACAAAATAGATGGCATCATGAGGAAGGAAAAATATGTGGAAATATTGAAGCAACATCACAAGACATCAGTCAGGAAATTAAAGCTTGGTCGCAAATGGGTCTTCCAAATGGACAATGACCCCAAGCATACCTCCAAAGTTGTGCCAAAATGGCTTAAGGACAACAAAGTCAAGGTATTGGATTGGCCATCACAAAAGCCCTGACCTCAATCCTATTGAAAATTTGTGGGCAGAACTGAAAAAGCGTGTGCGAGCAAGGAGGCCTACAAACCTGACTCAGTTAGACCAGCTCTGTCAGGAGGAATGGGCCAAAATTCCCCCAACTTATTGTGGGAAGCTTGTGGAAGGCTACCCAAAATGTTTGACCCAAGTTAAACAATTTAAAGGCAATGCTACCAAATACTAATTGAGTGTATGTAAACTTCTGACCCACTGGGAATGTGCTGAAAGAAATAAAAGCTGAAAGAAATAATTCTCTCTACTATTATTCTGACATTTCACATTCTTAAAATAAAGTGGTAAACCTAACTTACCTAAGACAGGGAATTATTACTAGGATTAAATGTCAGGAATTGTGAAAAACTGAGTTTAAATGTATTTGGCTAAGGTGTATGTAAACGTCCGACTTCAACTGTATGTCTGGCGCAAACCCAACACCTCTCATCACCCCAAGAACACCATCCCCACAGTGAATCACGGTGGTGGCAGCATCATGCAGTGGGGATGTTTTTCCATTGGCAGGGACTGGGAAACTGGTCAGAATTGAAGGATTGATGGATGGTGCTAAATACTGGGAAATTCTTGAGGGAAACCTGTTTCAGTCTTCCAGAAATTTGAGACTGGGACGGAGGTTCACCTTCCAGCAGGACAATGACCCTAAGCATACTGCTAAAGCAACACTTGAGTGGTTTAAGGGGAAACATGTAAATGTCTTGGAATGGCCTAGTCAAAGCCCAGACCTCAATTGAAAATCTGTGGTAGGACTTAAAGATTGCTGTACACCAGCGGAACCCATCCAACTTGAAGGAGCTGGAGCAGTTTTGCCTTGAAGAACGGGCAAAAATCCCAGTGGCTAGATGTGCCAAGCTTATAGAGACATACCCCATGAGACTTGCAGCTGTAATTGCTGCAAAAGGTGGCTCTACAAAGTATTGACTTTGGGCGGGGTGAATAGTTATGCACGCTCAAGTTCTGATTTTTTGTCTTATTTCTTGTTTGTTTCACCCCAAAAAATATTTTGCATCTTCAAAGTGGTAGGCATGTTGTGTAAATCAAATGATACAAACCCACCAAAAATACATTTTAATTCCAGGTTGTACGGCAACAAAATAGGAAAAATGACAAGGGGGGTGAATACTTTCACAAGCCACTCTATGTTATGTGAATAAGAGTTAATCTTAGCTGCTTACACCTGTTAAATTTATACATTTTCCCTTAGGTACAGCTGGACTGGTAGGTGTGTTGGAGGTTTCCTTACCTGTCCATGTACAGCATGGAGTGGAACTCCAGCTTGTTGTGGATCTTCTCAGGTCGACCCAAAGCTTGGTTGAACTCAAATCTTGACAGTTCAAATGTCAAGACAGGAGGGAGTTCGGTAAACCAGTGCTGAAAGAAATTCCAAAATTGGCTTTCAATTTAGTTTGTTTTCTAATTGGTCATATGAGTCATGTGGTTTCCATAAACACATTTTTAAATTTCGCCATCTATGGAATTAGTAGTTTTGTGTAGCGTGTTTTGAAATAATTCCTACACGACTCACGCCTGTTCCACTAAAATTGTTGTGCTTCTAGTAGTGCTGAGTTATTAAATCGAAATGTAAGCTATTTTTCATTTTTTTAAACAACTAATTGACCTATGTCGGTTCAATTATTTGAATTCCATTTAGTTCTGTTTTTTTTCTTCTGTGAGCTCAATGCACACATTGAGCAGTTTCCCTAGAGATAAATCAGATCAAGCTTGAACTGTGCGATGTAGTAAGGAGTTGTACTTTCCAGCAGGCCAATATTCTACACAATTAGCACGTTTTCTGCGCTATAATGATCATAATCCATTGAGAGCCTACATGTCCGGTCTGTGTTTCTTTTACTCCTGCTATGTTAGGTTAGTGTGAAGCAGACACCGAGAAGGAGAGAAGAATGCGCAATCGAGAGGGATAGAGCGCAGTTGCTTCATGAGGTATCTCTACCTGAAATGTCAGAATAATAGTAGAGAGAATTATTTCTAAGTGATTACATTTTTACATTACATTTTAGTCATTTAGCAGACGCTCTTATCCAGAGCGACTTACATGAGCAATTAGGGTTAAGTGCCTTGCTTAAGGGCACATCGACAGATTTTTCACCTAGTCGGCTCGGGGATTAGAACCAGCGACCTTTCGGTTACTGGCACAACGCTCTTACCCACTAAGCTACCTGCCGCCCTGATAGTTGGTATTCAGCAGTCATAAAAGTATGTTATTTACTTTGAAGAACTAGGCCTACTAAAATAGTGAGTGTCACACAGCATAGGCAACAGCTCTATAGAGATGAGATGACTTGTAATGAAATAATAAAGTAATAAAAAAAAGTAATATACACAACTGAAATATGTTTTTTTAAATAATGTGAATAAATGGTTAATAAGTGATAAGCAGTAAAATCGGCAGGCACTACAATTCATGGGACTTTTATTACTTGTTTTACTCTGTGTTGTTACAGCAGTCAACCCACATAATGCATAGTGCATTTAATGTTGAAGAAAAATGATCAAAACTGATTATTTTTAAAAGAATTGAACAGACCTCAAAAATCACTAAATCGCTCAGCACTAGCCTCTATCCAATATTATTTATGTCATTATTCCAAGCAGGCATTGATGGTGTGTGTGTGTGTATGTATGTATAGGGGAAGGTGCAAAGGAGCTATCTAAGGCAGGTTTAGCTAGGCTGGGGGGTCTACAGTGATATACTACAATTAGAAATAACCGAAACAACAATAAACTAACCATGTTTGGGCTGAGGCTAAACATAAACAGGATGTAGTACCGTAAAAAGGAACAGTCCAGCAGATATCAGCTGTATAGCTGAGTTATCATAAGGTCCGGTGGTGAAGCACTAGTAAGAGGCCACGGCTAGCGTGTGCTAGCGGGCCAGGGCTAGCAGATGGATGGAATCTTCGTGGTTAACGTCGTAACCACATCAGACGATTTCGTCGGCAGACCAGTCGTGTAGGATCGGCGGGGCTCCGTGTCAACACTAGGTGGTCCCGTCCGGTTGACAGAGAGGTAGATAGCCGGGAGATGGGCGATGGGCCTAGCTCAGGATGATTAGCCAGACCACAGCGTCCGTTTTGTTGTAGCTGGCTGGTGGTAGCTAGCTGGTAGCGATGAATCCGGAGTTAAAGGTCCAGTGATTCAGTGATTCAGGCGGAAAAACTGATATGTTCTGGGTCGATAACGCGCTGTGCAGACTGGCCGAATATCCGGTGATCAATGTCCAGTGATTAAAATTAATCCCGCGGAAAAAAATCCAATGTTCTGGGTGAAACACCGCTAGCTGTGGCTAATAGCTGGAGCTGGAGAGGTCGTCGGGAGAGGTCGTGTTTTTCTCTAGCTGGAGGTAAGCAGGAGGTAAGCTTCTCATATGGTGTTGAGTAAAGCTTAACCATGTATTAGATCGTAGGTAGGTAGTTAGCTGTAGTTAGGTATTGTATTTATTATAGGTTAGTATTGTTGTTATTGTAGGTTTCCGTAGGTAATTGTAGGTTAGTATCGAAGCACGAGGCTAGCTAGCTAGCGGGTAGCTACTGGTATCGATTAGCAACGCTGGAGAGCTGTTTCCAATGTTAATGTAGTCCTAGCCATCGTTTAATTTTTGCTGCGTTATGCGTTATGAAAGGAACTAGACACGGACTTGAATTATCTGTTTAGTGTGCTAACACACTCTTGGCAGTTTGTTGTAACCAAGTATTGATGCTAAATTGGGTGTTAATGGATGCTAGCTTGCAAGTTAGCTACGGCGTCATAGCTAGGCATCGTGGGTTGTTGTGGGTAGTTACTGTGTCTTGGCAGTGCCGGCTGTAGCACGAAGCGAGCTACCTAGCCGTTTTTTCGAACAGAGTCAGAGTCAACACAATAGCCATTGTGTGCCGGGTGTAGCACGAAGCTAGCTAGCTAGCCGTTCTTCAAACAAAGTCAACACAGTGGCCATTGCTAGCTACCCAACACGACCAGCTAACTGTACGGTAGTAGCTAAATACAATATACTTGTCCTAGCTAGCCAACGTCTAATCATTGCTGCGTCATGAAAGGAACTTGACACAGACACGAATGATCTGTTTAGTGTGTTATCACACTATTGGTGGTTTGTTGTGACCAAGGTTGGTGCTATACGGTTGTGTTTTGTTATTGGGATGCTAGCTTGTAGTTAGCTATGGTGTCATAGTTGAATAAAGTGGGTTGAGTCTATTCCTTTAAACATTGAACCGTGTGGTTCACAAAAAATTTGATTTCTAAAGGTGGAAGTTGGGGAGAGTTTTTGTTCGGGTGGTTCAGTGAAACAATTTTAGTTTCTGAGGGGAGAAGTTTTTGGTGAGGGGGGCCCTGCTCTCTCCGCTCCCAGATGCTTAGCTATTTCATTCCGATCTCCTCTGCATTTTTGTAGCCATTTGCTACAGCCTGTCAACTATGCCTCTGCTATCCCTGTTCTCTCCCTCTGCACAGGCTACACAAACGCACACACCGCGTGGCTGCTGCCTCTAACCTGGTGGTCCCCCCCGGGCCCCGCAGCACCTCAACTGGCGCTCCAAAAGGTCCCGCCAGCAGCCTGTCAAGTTCTGATTTTTGTTCTTATTTCTTGTTGGTTTCACCCCAAAAAATATTTTGCATCTTCAAAGTGGTAGGCATGTTGTGTAAATCAAATGATACAAACCCACCAAAAATACATTTTAATTCCAGGTTGTACGGCAACAAAATAGGAAAAATGACAAGGGGGGTGAATACTTTCACAAGCCACTCTATGTTATGTGAATAAGAGTTAATCTTAGCTGCTTACACCTGTTAAATTTATACATTTTCCCTTAGGTACAGCTGGACTGGTAGGTGTGTTGGAGGTTTCCTTACCTGTCCATGTACAGCATGGAGTGGAACTCCAGCTTGTTGTGGATCTTCTCAGGTCGACCCAAAGCTTGGTTGAACTCAAATCTTGACAGTTCAAATGTCAAGACAGGAGGGAGTTCGGTAAACCAGTGCTGAAAGAAATTCCAAAATTGGCTTTCAATTTAGTTTGTTTTCTAATTGGTCATATGAGTCATGTGGTTTCCATAAACACATTTTTAAATTTCGCCATCTATGGAATTAGTAGTTTTGTGTAGCGTGTTTTGAAATAATTCCTACACGACTCACGCCTGTTCCACTAAAATTGTTGTGCTTCTAGTAGTGCTGAGTTATTAAATCGAAATGTAAGCTATTTTTCATTTTTTTAAACAACTAATTGACCTATGTCGGTTCAATTATTTGAATTCCATTTAGTTCTGTTTTTTTTCTTCTGTGAGCTCAATGCACACATTGAGCAGTTTCCCTAGAGATAAATCAGATCAAGCTTGAACTGTGCGATGTAGTAAGGAGTTGTACTTTCCAGCAGGCCAATATTCTACACAATTAGCACGTTTTCTGCGCTATAATGATCATAATCCATTGAGAGCCTACATGTCCGGTCTGTGTTTCTTTTACTCCTGCTATGTTAGGTTAGTGTGAAGCAGACACCGAGAAGGAGAGAAGAATGCGCAATCGAGAGGGATAGAGCGCAGTTGCTTCATGAGGTATCTCTACCTGAAATGTCAGAATAATAGTAGAGAGAATTATTTCTAAGTGATTACATTTTTACATTACATTTTAGTCATTTAGCAGACGCTCTTATCCAGAGCGACTTACATGAGCAATTAGGGTTAAGTGCCTTGCTTAAGGGCACATCGACAGATTTTTCACCTAGTCGGCTCGGGGATTAGAACCAGCGACCTTTCGGTTACTGGCACAACGCTCTTACCCACTAAGCTACCTGCCGCCCTGATAGTTGGTATTCAGCAGTCATAAAAGTATGTTATTTACTTTGAAGAACTAGGCCTACTAAAATAGTGAGTGTCACACAGCATAGGCAACAGCTCTATAGAGATGAGATGACTTGTAATGAAATAATAAAGTAATAAAAAAAAGTAATATACACAACTGAAATATGTTTTTTTAAATAATGTGAATAAATGGTTAATAAGTGATAAGCAGTAAAATCGGCAGGCACTACAATTCATGGGACTTTTATTACTTGTTTTACTCTGTGTTGTTACAGCAGTCAACCCACATAATGCATAGTGCATTTAATGTTGAAGAAAAAATGATCAAAACTGATTATTTTTAAAAGAATTGAACAGACCTCAAAAATCACTAAATCGCTCAGCACTAGCCTCTATCCAATATTATTTATGTCATTATTCCAAGCAGGCATTGATGGTGTGTGTGTGTGTATGTATGTATAGGGGAAGGTGCAAAGGAGCTATCTAAGGCAGGTTTAGCTAGGCTGGGGGGTCTACAGTGATATACTACAATTAGAAATAACCGAAACAACAATAAACTAACCATGTTTGGGCTGAGGCTAAACATAAACAGGATGTAGTACCGTAAAAAGGAACAGTCCAGCAGATATCAGCTGTATAGCTGAGTTATCATAAGGTCCGGTGGTGAAGCACTAGTAAGAGGCCACGGCTAGCGTGTGCTAGCGGGCCAGGGCTAGCAGATGGATGGAATCTTCGTGGTTAACGTCGTAACCACATCAGACGATTTCGTCGGCCAGACCAGTCGTGTAGGATCGGCGGGGCTCCGTGTCAACACTAGGTGGTCCCGTCCGGTTGACAGAGAGGTAGATAGCCGGGAGATGGGCGATGGGCCTAGCTCAGGATGATTAGCCAGACCACAGCGTCCGTTTTGTTGTAGCTGGCTGGTGGTAGCTAGCTGGTAGCGATGAATCCGGAGTTAAAGGTCCAGTGATTCAGTGATTCAGGCGGAAAAAAACTGATATGTTCTGGGTCGATAACGCGCTGTGCAGACTGGCCGAATATCCGGTGATCAATGTCCAGTGATTAAAATTAATCCCGCGGAAAAAAATCCAATGTTCTGGGTGAAACACCGCTAGCTGTGGCTAATAGCTGGAGCTGGAGAGGTCGTCGGGAGAGGTCGTGTTTTTCTCTAGCTGGAGGTAAGCAGGAGGTAAGCTTCTCATATGGTGTTGAGTAAAGCTTAACCATGTATTAGATCGTAGGTAGGTAGTTAGCTGTAGTTAGGTATTGTATTTATTATAGGTTAGTATTGTTGTTATTGTAGGTTTCCGTAGGTAATTGTAGGTTAGTATCGAAGCACGAGGCTAGCTAGCTAGCGGGTAGCTACTGGTATCGATTAGCAACGCTGGAGAGCTGTTTCCAATGTTAATGTAGTCCTAGCCATCGTTTAATTTTTGCTGCGTTATGCGTTATGAAAGGAACTAGACACGGACTTGAATTATCTGTTTAGTGTGCTAACACACTCTTGGCAGTTTGTTGTAACCAAGTATTGATGCTAAATTGGGGTGTTAATGGATGCTAGCTTGCAAGTTAGCTACGGCGTCATAGCTAGGCATCGTGGGTTGTTGTGGGTAGTTACTGTGTCTTGGCAGTGCCGGCTGTAGCACGAAGCGAGCTACCTAGCCGTTTTTTCGAACAGAGTCAGAGTCAACACAATAGCCATTGTGTGCCGGGTGTAGCACGAAGCTAGCTAGCTAGCCGTTCTTCAAACAAAGTCAACACAGTGGCCATTGCTAGCTACCCAACACGACCAGCTAACTGTACGGTAGTAGCTAAATACAATATACTTGTCCTAGCTAGCCAACGTCTAATCATTGCTGCGTCATGAAAGGAACTTGACACAGACACGAATGATCTGTTTAGTGTGTTATCACACTATTGGTGGTTTGTTGTGACCAAGGGTTGGTGCTATACGGTGTGTTATTGTTATTGGATGCTAGCTTGCTAGTTAGCTATGGTGTCATAGTTGAATAAAGTGGGTTGAGTCTATTCCTTTAAACATTGAACCGCTGTGGTTCACAACAATTCTGATTTCTAAAGGTGGAAGTTGGGAGAGTTTTTGTTCGGGTGGTTCAGTGAAACAATTTTAGTTTCTGAGGTAGAAGTTTTTGGTGAGGGAGGCCCTGCTCTCTCCGCTCCCAGATGCTTAGCTCATTTCATTCCGATCTCCTCTGCATTTTTGTAGCCATTTGCTACAGCCTGTCAACTATGCCTCTGCCTATCCCTGTTCTCTCCTCTCTGCACAGGCTACACAAACGCACCACACCGCGTGGCTGCTGCCTCTCTAACCTGGTGGTCCCTGCACGCACCACCCACGTGGAGTTCCAGGTCGCAGGCAGCCTCTGGAACTGCCGTTCTGCTGCCAACAAAGCTGACTTCATCCCAGCCTATGCCAACCTCCAGTCCCTCGACTTCCTGGCGCTGACGGAAACATGGATCACCACTGAAAACACTGCTACTCCTACTGCTCTCTCCTCGTCTGACCATGTGTTCTCGCATACCCCGAGAGCATCTGGTCAGAGGGGTGGTGGTACAGGAATCCTCATTTCTCCCAAGTGGACATTCTCAATTTTTCCCCTAACCCATCTGTCTATCTCCTCATTTGAATTCCATGCTGTCACAGTCACTAGCCCATTTAAGCTTAATATCCTTGTCATCTATCGCCCTCCAGGTTCCCTTGGAGAGTTCAATGAGCTCGACGCCTTGATAAGTTCCTTCCCTGAGGATGGCTCACCCCTCACAGTTTTGGGGGATTTCAACCTCCCTATGTCCACATTTGACTCATTTCTCTCTGCCTCCTTCTTTCCACTCCTCTCCTCTTTTGACCTCACCCTCTCACCGTCCCCCCCCTACTCACAAGGCAGGCAATACGCTTGACCTCATCTTCACTAGATGCTGCTCCTCTACTAATCTCACTGCAACTCCCCTCCATGTCTCCGACCACTACTTTGTTTCCTTTTCTCTCTCGCTCTCCTCCCACACTACTCACTCTGCCCCTACACAGATGGTAATGCGCCGCCGCAACCTTCGCTCTCTCTCTCCCACTACTCTCTCCTCTTCCATCCTATCATCTCTTCCCTCTGCTCAATCCTTCTCCCTCCAATCTCCTGATTCTGCCTCAACCCTCCTCTCCTCCCTTTCTGCATCCTTTGACTCTCTGTGTCCCCTATCCTCCCGGCCGGCTCGGTCCTCCCCTCCAGCTCCGTGGCTTGATGACTCATTGCGAGCTCACAGAACAGAGCTCCGGGCAGCGGAGCGGAAATGGAAGAAAACTAAACTCCCTGCCGACCTGGCATCTTTTCACTCCCTCCTCTCTACATTTTCTTCATCTGTTTCTGCTGCTAAAGCCACCTTCTACCACTCTAAATTCCAAGCATCTGCCTCTAACCCTAGGAAGCTCTTTGCCACATTTTCCTCCCTCCTGAATCCTCCCCCCCCCCCCCCCCCCCCCCCCTCCTCTCTCTCTGTGGATGACTTCGTCAACCACTTTGAAAAGAAGGTTGATGACATCCGATCCTCGTTTGTTAAGTCTAATGACACTGCTGGTCCTGCTCACACTGCCCTACCCTATGCTTTGACTTCTTTCTCCCCTCTCTCTCCAGATAAAATCCTGCGACTTGTGACTGCAGGCCGCCCAACAACCTGCCCGCTTGACCCCATCCCCTCCTCCCTTCTCCAGACCATCTCCGGTGACCTTCTCCCCTACCTCACCTCGCTGATCAACTCATCCTTGACCGCTGGCCATGTCCCTTCCGTCTTCAAGAGAGCGAGAGTTGCTCCCCTTCTCAAAAAACCAACACTCGACCCCACTGATGTCAACAACTACAGACCAGTATCCCTTCTTTCTTTTCTTTCCAAAACTATTGAGCGTGCCGTCTTTAGCCAACTCTCTTGCTATCTCTCTCAGAATGACCTTCTTGATCCAAACCAATCAGGTTTCAGGACTGGTCATTCAACTGAGACTGCTCTTCTCTGTGTCACGGAGACTCTCCGCACTACTAAAGCTAACTCTCTCTCCTCTGCTCTTGTCCTTCTAGACCTGTCTGCTGCCTTTGATACTGTGAACCATCAGATCCTCCTCTCCACCCTCTCCGAGCTGGGCATTTCCGGCGCGGCTCACTCCTGGATTGCGTCCTACCTGACCG